ATATATATATATATATATATATATATATATATATATTATGAAATCTGGCTTTGCACTTGAACTTATCGACAATGATAGTATGATTGATGTATGGGTTTAAGTTACTACTGTTTTAACCTTATTGTTTTCTAAAGAATCTAAACTCTTTTTACATGAAATTACTGTACTTCATTATTTGAAAATTCTTAGTGGTCCCTGTAGAAGTCAATTATGTTGTAAGATTGTTTACAAATCTAATCATTACACTGAAAATCTCCTAAAATTGACAAATTCCAACAACTCAACTTTCAGGCATTCCATTTGCAGTACAGGGAAATTATCTACAATCATTAAAAGATCTCAATCTTTTGATTTTTTTTGTTAAAGAAAATGGATGATACTCTGATGAATAGTTACTTGATCAAAGCTTTTGTAAATTGATTTTTTTTTGTTTGATCAGCTGGTGAGATGGATATCTATTGGTAAATTGATTCTCTTTCAAAAGTGTCCCTGTATCTTGAATCATATTTTCTAGAGTTACATATTGTAATGATGCAAATGAGAGGCCCAAACACATGATGAGAAGGCCACTAAAGCTCATTGATTATTCAATGGAGGGAATTGGGCTTTAAATTAGTAATAGGTCCAATTGTTTTTTAGTGTGCAGATTAGGTTCCAACATTTATTTTCCGTTACAGCATTTATTTTCCCTAAATCAGTGCTATACACGTGTAGGCACCAGAGTTATTGAGTCTTTTCTTTTATAGTGGCTGTATTGCAACTTGATGGTTATGGAATGAGTATCTTTCTTAGCATTAGCCTAGTGTAGTAACCGTTTTTCTCTAGCAATCCTCTGTTAGTAACTTATGGCTCAAAATCAATTCTTATATAGCTTACAAGCATCTTTCAGTCTACTGTTTATTCAGTAAACTTAGCTTGTGCTTGTATTATGCAATGCTCTCCTCTCTGTAGAGATACTGATCTGGCATTAATAAAAAAAAAACAAGATTGTATTTTATCGTTAGATTTGTGATTTTCTTGATTTGAACCTGATATTTTAAATTTCCAAAATCAGCTTTGAAAGTAATGATCTGCAAATTTTGTAACCTGTTCAGAACTTATCAAATATTTAGTGTTTAACTATTGATTGATGTACAGTTATCTATGTTAATATTGCTTGTGAAACTTTCAGCTTACTGCTTATCATGAGAGTGGTCATGCAATAGTTGCCATTAACACTGAGGGTGCTCAACCAATTCACAAGGCAACAATCTTGCCTCGTGGATCTGCTTTAGGAATGGTCACGCAGCTTCCCTCTGGTGATGAGACATCAGTCAGCAAGAAGCAGTTACTAGCTCGCCTTGATGTTTGTATGGGAGGAAGAGTTGCAGAAGAAATTATCTTCGGTCAGGATCATATCACAACTGGAGCAAGCAGTGATCTAAACTCGGCTACTGAGCTTGCCCAATATATGGTAGTTTTTTTGCATTCCGAGTCCTGACTAATGCCAAATGCAGTTTCTTCATCTTTGGAATTGAGACTTATTTTTGTTGACTTTATTTTGGCCACAGAAGCTATACGAAATTTCTGTGCTTGTTATATTTGTTTCAATGTGATTATTACTTTGAATGTTCACGAGGAGTGGTAACAAAGTACTTATAGAACTTCACTCTGACTGAATTTGTCAACTAGAGCCTTCTGCTATGTTCTCGAGTCTTGACCTATCTTTTGTTGTAAAATGAGAGATTAACTCTCTTGTTATTTTCGTTTCTGCACAAGGTATCAATCTGTGGAATGAGTGATGCAATAGGGCCAGTTCATATAAAGGAGAGACCTAGTTCTGAAATGCAGTCCCGTATTGATGCAGAGGCAAGTGCTTTGAACTTATATCCTTCATATCATTTTGAATCTTTTGATAGTAGATATCCATGTTTGGGTTAATATACTTGTACTTTTAAGGAATTATTATTTTTCAAAAAATAAATATCTGGTTTATGATTTGAATTTTTATTCCGCAGGTTGTTAAACTTCTTAGAGAAGCATATGATCGAGTGAAAGCCCTTCTAAGAAAGGTTTATCAAATCAATTTCAATTTTGTGTTTGATCTGTCATTTCTAGCACTTTCAAGATGATCTATTATCCTGCTAAAAATATTCATTTTCTTTATATGAAGATTTAATATAAATTTACAGGTGCTAAAACTTCAAAAATGTTATGTATTTAATAAAAAAACATGTTAATTGGAGTCCTAAACTACAATTTTAAAATCAATGACAGTGCTTTTGGAAGCTTAATGATTCTGAACCAAAAGCTACTTTTGTGGGGTTTAAATATGTGGTATAAATCATTTTGTGCATTGATAACACCCATATGCGGATGATAGATTCATAAATTTTAATAAATTTTTCTGTTTCACCTGGTGTTGATTAATCAAAGTAAGCAACCAAAATTATGTCATGCATGGGATTTACTATTGTCTAACATCTGACTGAATAAGTTCTGAGCCCAAATAACTTCTGATATTTCTTCAGCATGAGAAGGCATTACATGCTCTGGCAAATGCATTATTAGAGTATGAGACACTTAATGCAGAAGAAATCAGGCGGATACTACTACCATATCGGGAAGGAAGAGTACCAAAGAAACAGGAACAAGAATCAGAACGGGAGCTCGTGTTGGTCTAAACATTCTTTCAGTTTGTTGTCTGTTAACTATACTAACTATAGGGGGACGCTCTGTACAGCATACATAGTCGCCCAACAGGTATATTTCTTGATCCAATTGTGCAGATCCACACCTTTGTGCATGCTATTCTGGCATATGATTCTGATAGGAAGTGACACACCTTTAGCCTATCTGAAGCAAGTAGTCCTGTTCACAATGACAAAGGCTGGAATATTGCTCTTGCTAGGAGTGCGAGCATCATTTTTTGGTGAGAACTATTTATAATTTGTAGAAAGATGTGTATTTGGACACTCTTTGAGAATTGTGCCTACCAGTGTACACATTATTCATTGCTTTAAAAATTTATTGTTTACGGAGATCCAAGTATCTGTGGTCTTTATTTTTGATGGACTGGAAGTGATGAACATAAGATTTTCGCGATTGCTGTGTATAAACTCTGAAGTGATGAAGATCAAAAAAGTATATATCACCAATTGAAAAATCAGTGACCTGTGCCTCTTGAAATATATTAAGGACTAAGCAATCATGTCACTCTCGAGTAGTCAAGTTTTCATATCTGAAAAGGTTTATTACGTGGCTACATAATTAACTAATTTGCATGTGTGTGTGTCAGTCAGAGGGAGGGACAGATGTGCAAAATTTGTAGTCCGAAAAAGATTAATTAACTTGGAGAATATATGCCATCTTCCATGTTCTAGTTTGTTCGTTGATCCTTCTATCTTGTAGATTTGAAAGGAGTTGTGATGCTTTTTAATTATCTTTTTATAACGCTTTTTTTGTTTTTGTTTTTTTCAATCTTCATTCATTCTCATTCATTCATCACATCACTAACTTTTTATCACATATTCCCAATTTTCTTTTTACCACTCACTCTTTTTATACAAAATATGCGAAAGGGAAATGCATTTTTAATACAAAAAAGTAAAGTTAAATGCTGGTCTGTACTAAAAGTTTTATTCAGTGGTAAAACTTTAATTTGACCGAGCACTGAGGTGACATGTTAGTAATGTATGAAGTGCAAAGCTATGAATACAGGATTGAACTGATAAAATGTGTTTGATTCGGCGTCTGAGTGATGTTATGTCAAAAACCACATAAAATTTTACTAATTTACGTGGAAGCAAGTAAAAGTAGCTTCAAGAATGGCATGAATTTGGGTAACAAATTTTACTAATTTATGTGAAAATAACTAGAAGTAGCTTTAAGAATAACCTGAATCTAGAGTAATGGATGCGGCATCCGAACATACTGAAAGACATTGATATGGCATTTTTATAATTAAATTAGCGGCAATTAAATGTATATATATATATATATATATATATATATATATATATATATTTATACATTTTATACACACAATATATTGGGTTATTGATTAGTAGCAACTAAACGTATATAAATTGGAAGAAATTTAATTCTATTATTCCTTCATTAAGTGTGAGTTTTGTTATTTTAAACTCTTTAAAAAATGATTTCAAGTTTTTACTGTGTATTGCCTAGACATAGCTTGGCCTTAACCCAATTTTAATGTAGTTTATTTGTCATTACACACTTTGAATCTTATTTTAGAGAAAGAGTATTAGAGAAATTTTTACTATTATTTCTCCACCACTGAATGGTACATCTAATTTAGATAATTTAACACTCATATTTCAATCCTCCATTGCATAAGTCAGTAGGTGAGACAAACAACTCATGTTTCCGCTTCACATACCCTCTTGATTTTATTTATTTATTTATTTTTGCTATTTTCCTTGCCCAATCAACTTGACATACACTCCTTTATTTTATTTTTTTGTGATTTCTATAGTTAAATCAACTTGGCATACCCTCTTTGATTTGTTTGCGATTTCCCTAACCCAATCAACTTGACATGCCCTGCTTGATTTCTCCACAGCTATCCTAGACCTAAACTATGATTAAACTAGTCATGGGTGCACTCTTTGTATGAATATACTCACGCTAACAAGTAAGGATGACATCTTCACTATTTAAACTCAGTGAGTTAGTTCATGCCATTATTTTCACTCTAGTATAGCGTGTGTTTGTTTTGATGTTTATAGGTAGAGTCTTTCAATATGGGTTGGATTTAAAGTTTCAAAACTCATGAGTTGAATTGAACGTGCATAAAAATGAGTGTTAACTTTAAAATAAACACACACTATTTAAGAAGTCTTGAATAAACAATAATGATGTTTGAATTGTTCTCTCATGCCACCAAACAGTAGGCTACTACATTGAGAGAAAAAAAATGGTATTGGGGAAATAATAATAAATAATAAAAGTGATAAGCAAGGAACAACATCTTAAATTAATATAATATCTAAAGTGTACATTACTTTCTCTGTTTTTTGTTTTTTGTTTTTTATTTTTTATTTATGTTTAATGTTTATACACAAAAATTAAGAAAATGATTGATATTTTAGTTTTTAAAAGTATTTATTACTTACTTTTTTGTTATACCTTCTAGCAGTGATTTAAAACTCGGATCGAACTGGCTGGTTGGACCGGTTGGACCGGGAACTGGTAGTCCAGCCGGTCCCAATCTTAAGTTGGATCAATTATGTAGTCGACCCGTTTCAAACTGGATTGAACCGGTCAATTTTTCGGTTCAACTGGTGAACCGGTGGGTCAAATCGATTCAACCACTTTTTTTTTCTTATTTTTTTTAATTTTTTTAAGGCACCATAAACTACAAAAACAATAATGAAAATTGAATCTCTTAATGGAAGAGCAAAGAGTCTTATTAAATATAACAATGACTACTTGTTCTAATGTATTTGTTTGTAATATATACAACTTAAATAACTTTTATAGTATATTATTAATTTTAAATTATATATTTAATAATATAATATCTATGTAGATAATACATATATTATTTTGTGATATCAGCTGCAAGCATATTATATATGTACATATTATTTATATTTTTAATTTGTATTAATATACAGTTTAACATGTAATTTTTTATGTATTTTTTTACAAAATAAAAATAAAAATAATTTTAAATAAGATAGAAAAATTGAAATTTAAAATAAGATATGAATTAATTAAAATTTATAAGTATAAAATATATTTAATATGAATATTTTTTTAATAAAAATAAATAAAAATCGAGTCATGCGGTTCAACTAGTGACCTACCGGTTCAACCTTTGACCCACTGACCCAGTACCTTAACCGGTTCGATGACCGGTCCGATTTTTAAAACTATGCCTTCTAGGTAGTTGGAGAAGAAATATGTATATTAAAAATGAATAAACACATTGTTCAGTAAACACACATTAATTATCAAGGATAAAAAAATAAATAATAAGTCATTGATTTTAAAAAAGTGACGATGAAAATTGAACAAAAAAAAATAGTGTCAAAATATCTATGAAAAAAGAAGAAGAAGGGAGTATATGAAATTCTCCACTTAATGTTTCTTGTGAAATGCGCTTAAAGACAAACATACTTTACTGGAATAGTAAAAAAGGATAAAATTAAGATATTGAATCCAAAGGATCATATTTAAACAATTATCAATTTACTCTTTAGTTTTAGTAGTTTGAAGAAATAGAAATTGTATTAAAGAGTATAATGATTAATAACAAATATAAGAAAAATTATTATTGAAATTCACAAATAAAAATCTTAAAATTGTGACTTATTATTTCCAATCCACAAAGATAATTGATAAATTAATAAATAGCTAAATTTGATACCCGTGCGATACAAATTTTATTGTAGTAAGTTAAAAGATATGATATTTAATTGATTATAAACATCGACGACAATAATAATATATAAAGTAAAATAATATTAAGAATTAGTAAAAGATAATATAAAAAAATAATACACACTAACTTGTTATTTTTTAATTGAGAAGAATCAAAATAATAAAAAATAAGTCATTTAAATTTTTTAACATTTGATAATAACTTTTTTGATTTATTGATTATAATTAATTAATTATATAGACTATTGTTTTTGTCAGTGATTTATTAACTTTTTTAAAATTTGTTTTTGCTAGCTGTGATTGTAATGTACATTTAATATTTCATTAAATTAATTAGTTAATACCTTAATTATGTGTTTTTTTATTTATTGATTATTATTATATAGACTATTATGTTTGTCAGTGATTTATTATTGTTTTTTTTAATATTTTTTGGCTTGCTCTAGTTATAATGTACATTTAATATTTCATTAAATTAATCGGTTAATATCTTATTGATAACGATTACAATAGCTTTTTCTTTTATCTGTTTTTCCTGGGTTGTATCGATTATAAATCAGTTAATTATTTATTTTTGTTATATTGATGATAGTAATTATTAAAATATTTTTATCAAAATTCTTTCTTTTATTTCAACATATTTGTTTTTTTTAATCATTTTATAATATCATGAAAATCTAATAATGAGTAGTAATTATTAAAATACTTTCATCCAAATTTTATCTTTTATTTTAATATATATGTTTTGATGTATTTATTTTTTAATTATTTTTAATAGTAATTTTGATATATTTATTTTTTATTTATTTTCGTTAGGAGTTTTGATATATTTGTTTTTTTTATTATTTATTTTCGGTAATGGTTTATTTTATAATATTATTGATATATGAAAATATTTAGGAAGATATTGTTGGAAGGAATAAATATTTATAACCAATTTACTGGAGGGAAGTTTATTGGAGGAAGGTTTTGGAGGGAAGAAGTTATTCCCTTTATATATATACTATAGATGTCTCCAATTTTACTTCTAAAATTATTAACAATCTTATGGTTCCTAAAAGTTAACAATCTTTATTTTAAGAAAAAACTAAATTAATCACAATAATTTTATTCTAAAAATAAAACATATTTATGCATAAGCAAATTAAATAATTAATTCAATTGGTAATTAAGAAAACAACTTGATCATGACAATTTTCAGAATTCAACTATTTTAGGTTTCTATTAATTAAAAGAGTTTGATTATGTAGTTCTAATTAACTGAGATAGAAAATAATATTCTAAAACAATTCAATAATTAACATACACAATTCATGAATTTATCATTGGGGTTCATAATAAACAATTATATCACAACTCTAGAATGAGAGAACTAGTCACAAATGCTACTACAACCATTAAATAAAGGAAAGAATTAATTGTGATAGGAATGATCCTTCTTCAAGGGTTTGGCCTTTAGTCTCTTATAAAATCCCAATAATGAATAAAAGAAAAAGAAATTATAAAAGAGACCAGAGTTAAGAACGGAAGAAAATTAGAAAAAAATTGGATGATCTAAACGTAGTTTGAATGTCCCTATTTATATTCAAAATAAGGTGGACTCTTGGAGCACAGTTATGCATCTCAGCAAGCACGATCGTGCTTAGTATTCAGGGCTTGGTTCATTAAACAAGAGCACAAGTGTGTTTAGGGGT